TATACGTATTAAGGACTAGGTCTTCCGATTTCGCTATGTACCTCTCTTCATAGTACTGACCACATTGAAACTTTACACTCCTTTAGATGACCACTTTCTCTCCAAAATGACAATGAAGTCTTCCTTCTCACTTGGAAAGCTGAGTAGTTAACAGAGTAAATGCTACAGAATAGGCCTCAATAAATGTTTTTTTAAATGAAAGAACAAATGAAAAGTAGGTATTCTCGCCTCATGAGCTACTGTTAAAACCTGTATCACAGGCTTACACAAGTATGTATCTTGTACTAAAGGTTAATAATTGAGGTTAATATCTCATTTTTAAAGCAATGTTTCTCAAACTGTCTTTGGTTATTGCTTCAGTATATGTTAGCAGTCATTTTTTTAAAAAGTAACCCATGTTCAAATAAATTTGGGAAAAGCCATAAATTATTCTTGGAGTTTTGCAGTTTGGGAAGGGAAATTAAATATTTGATAACTACAAAGTAAACTATTAAACCAGGCTTAATACGACGATTCCCAAACAGCTTCTTTTCTGAGTTTATTGGCTTCTTTTTGAGAGAAAATAACATATTGCACAATTTGGGAAATAACTCATTAGAAAACACTGAATCCCAGAATTGGAACAGAGCATACAGATGAGTTGAAGGAAGCAGAAAATCTCACTTTTGTACTGGATGAATAAACAGTCTTTTATAAAAGAATTGTAGAGTGTTGAAATAAAGCTGCCAATAATAGTCCCATTATACCTTCCTAGGTGTCTGAAATCTCAATTTTTAAAATTCCTTTAGGGTATAATTTTTACTGCCAATTATATTTGCAAATTTAAGGCCAGTATTCATTCGGTTAATTATTTGCTCTTAATTATGATATAAATATAATAGCCACTACCACATAAGAGATAAGTTAGTTATTGAACTTTAAACATTAAAGAATATGTTGTCTTTTTCACTGAATACTTTCTCCAAAAACTGTAACTCTAATATATAGCTATCATAATAAATAAAATAAACATATGGTGTAACATTTTAGATGAAATTTATAATAATATTAAAATTCATATCTATATAAATTGTGCCTTAGCAAACATACTGAAAGACATTTCTAAAATGTATGTTAAAAAAATATCTCCATGTGACAAAGTTTCCCATGTATAGGCACATTTGATGTACCTGGTCCTTCTTGCTAAATGCCTGTTTTTCAGCTTTGGTACATATCAGAATCCTTAAGCTTTTAAAAATCACAAACTTGACTCCACTGCATAGATTTTCTATATCAGAATGTTGAGAAATCATGTCCAGAAAACTATTTTTTTTAATCTTCAGTTATTGAGGGCCACCACAAGAGAAAATTTTTGAGATATGCATTAGAGACAGAAGTCAAACAGGATCTGACATATAGGAAAAGGTAGAGCACCCCCAAAGGAGATAACTTGCCAAAGGTGTGAAGAATTTCAGATGCTCCAAACTTAAAAACAAAAAAAGAAAGAGAGAGAGAAATGTAAACCCATTAGTAGCAAAATTTAAAATCACAGCTCCTAGCAAATGCTAAGGCAAATGCAACAAGACCAAGTTAAATGCAACAAGACCAATAAATATCTAGAAGAGATGGTTTCCTTAGAATTAAATATTCTAAGAAAGTCAGATAAGTACTGAGTTCAATCAGTAGTGAAACTCTCATTCATGTGCAATAAAATTTTTCAAAATTGGTTCCCTAAAACTAAATTATACTACAAAGAAACTGATAATTGAGTTGTTACTGTTGATAACTGAATTATCAGTCTGGATAAGCAAATATTTTAAAATATCTTAAAACAAATCAAAAGCAAAAGGAAGAAACTATGAGAAATTATGTGAGAAAACATAAGATTTAGAGAATAGACATAAAACCAAGTATGAACAATAGGAGAGGTAGTTAGATTAAAGCAATAGATGGAGGAGTACTAATTAAGTAAGTACTAGGAAAAATACCTGGGGAGTAAGAGATTCCAGCCATACAGTAGCACCCAGCCCTGGGGTCTGACATTGAAATGATAAGCCCCCTTAGCTGGTTTGAAACCCAGTGGGGCTTATAGGAGAGCTGAAAGAAATCAAGGCTCTGCTCTTTAAGAAAGCACACACAGTCTTGCTTACTTCCGGTCTGAGTGCAGAGGCTGCTGGTTGAAAACTGCCTGGGCTCTGGCCAGCTTCCCAGGACTGCACCAGCATGACCCCCAGCCCACCCCAGGCTCCAGCTCCAGACCCTCTTGCTCTGGCACTGCTCTCCTCTAGAGCAGAGGCAGCTGTTGCCAATGAGAGTGCCCACACGTAGAGGGAAAGGAGCTGGCTTAGATCCCAGCCCCGCCGCTGACCAGGGCTGAGGCAGCCATTGCAAGTGGGTGTGTCCATGCTCACACTTGAGAGAAGCAAAATCAGCTCCAGGGAGGAGACCGCTATCACTGGTGGGAGTGAAACCAGCTCAGTGGCATGGCACCAACCGCTCCGGCCCCGACCCAGCCTGTAACCAAGGCACGCATACCGGGGGAAAAGTAAAACCAGCACAAAGTACAGCCCCAAGCCCTCAACCCCCGGCAAGGGCCCAACAAAGGTAGAAACAACCATCACACCCGAGAGAAATCCAGCTCCCTCAGGGCTCCTGGTCCAAATCCTTGGGCCCCAACCCTGCCCACAGGAGGATGGTAACAACCACTGAGCATAGGAGAAGTGTTGACTCTTACCTGGCTCCAGCTCCAGCCTCTCCAACTCCAACCATACCTCACACCAAGGTGGTGGCTGCCAGCACGCACCAGAGGAAGATGCTCCCATGCTCACTTCAGATCCAGCACTCCTGCCAAGTCACTGGGCATGTGCAGACTGTAGAGGGAGGCTCCCACACAAGGACTCATCTTCAAGACAGGAATAGATAACCGCTCACCTAATTCATAAAGACAGAGAAAGTTAAACAAAATGAGAAGACAGAGGAATATGTTTCAAACAAGGAACAAGAAAAAAAAAGTAGAGAAAAAAAACCCTAATGAAACAGAGATAAATAATTTACCTGATAGAGTTCAAAGCAGGAGCTCAATCAAGGTCACCACCAATCAAGGGTAGGAGGACACAGAACTCACCTTCCACCATGAACACATCAAAAATACATCTATATATGAAACACTTCTCACTGAAAACTAACTGGAAACTGGCAGAAAGACTCCTGTACAATCAAGGCTGTAAGAAAGACAGACGCGTAATCGGGTGGGCAGGGAAGAGGAGCCAAGGGA